CAGAGCAATTCACCACCTAAGTGCACAGGTTTCCTCCAGAAGTGATGCAAAATACCCCACTTCAAGTGCTCTTGACAGCACCTGCAATTACTCACGAGGGAGTTCAGCTCAAAGAGCCCTTTGAGAGGAACCTGTGATTCATCACTGGGATGAAGTTAGGATGTCACAAGTCGATAAGAAACTCAAACTGGTGGTGTTGTGGTTGGTGGTGGGAGCCCAAGCATGTGTCCAGCAGAATGTCATGCCTTCCTGTCCCAGCACGCTGGCATTTTCCCCCTTATCTCCTCCAGGACACTCTCCACGCTGCTGCCCAGACCTAAATTGAGAATTAAGAAAATAAAATTAGTTATCACAGGCCAGGTGCTGCTCTAGAAACCTCGTGGCAGATAATAAAATCCCTTCTACTACTTGTTGGAACAAGGAACCTCCTGGAGAAGTACCACCTTCTCCATCTGGAGTTCCCTGTGATCCTGGTGTCCACACCCACGGGTGGGCTGTAGCTCCAGGTCAGGGTGACTGCCTTACCCCAGGCAAAGCCAAACAAGTCTGGTTGGCCACGCTTCTCCAGCAAACTCCTCACCACAGTCGTGCTCAAGGTGTTTGTAACAACAACCCCCAAACAAAAGCTGCACATGGAAATTTGGAAATTAGACCTGCCCAGGCTGGTTCTTTTGCCAAATGTCTTTCCCAGCGCTCAGGTTTTTGGGATTGTGTTTTTCCACTTGGAAGTTGTGTAAAGACACAAAGAAACGTGATGCTCCTGGTGTTTTCTACTTGGAAGTTGACCTTTTGGGTGTAAAGACACAAAGAAATGTGATGCTCCCGCTGTTTTCCACTTGGAAGTTGACCTTTTGGGTGTAAAGACACAAAGAAATGTGATGCTCCGGTGTTTTCCACTTGGAAGTTGACCTTTTGGGTGTAAAGACACAAAGAAACGTGATGCTCCCGCTGTTTTCCACTTGGAAGTTGACCTTTTGGGTGTAAAGACACAAAGAAACGTGATGCTCCTGGTGTTTTCCACTTGAATCAGGGACTGTTGGTTGCTTGGGTTTCTGGAGTAGAACCTGGACAAAAGGCAGCGTGGAGACTCATGGATGGTCCTCAATCCTGGTGACTAAGGAGTGGGCAATTCCCACATCCATCCCATGGCTGCACGGGGGGTTTTTTTGCTTGCTTGGGTGTTCAGAGTTTCTGTTTCACGCAGAACTGGAGTATTTAGGAACAGTTGGGTATCACCGTGCTAAAGTGAGTTCATCCTTGTGCTAAAGTGGGTTCAAGCTGTGGCTGCTCCTCCCTGGAAGTGTTCAAGACCAGGTTGGATGAAGCTTTGAGCAACCTGGTCTAGTGGAAGGTGTCCCTGCTGATGGCAGGGGGGTTGGAATGAAATGAACTTTAAGGTTCCATCCAACCCAGAGGTGAGGATGAGAGTTTATGCAGCTAAAAAAAACCCAACATATTTTTTCCTCCTTCATATTTTTCCTCCTTCATAATTCTTCTCCTTCTTAATTTTTCTCCTTCTTAATTTTAGGAGAAGTTATTTCAGCTTCTGTCCAAGCCAAAATGTCTGATTTACTACAAGCCATCTCCTCCTTCCTGAAGACGTATCCTGCTTTGCCCAGGGATGCCATCCAACCTGCCATATCAACTCTTATCACCAACATCAACGGTAAATCTTTGAGGAATTAACGAGCCCTGTAATTTTTTTGCTCTCTGCTCAAGTGATGGTGGAAAGTTTTCACGCCGGGCTCAGCACAAACACACACGTGCAGGGAAAACACACCTCAATGAGCAGAACTCAGCGATCACTGAGGCTTTTTCATACCCAGACCCCATCGTTAGGGAAGATGGTGCTTTTAAAATGCACCATAAAAGTTTAGATGTGAGAGATTTTTTTATTTAGGCTGCCAATCGTGCTGGCAATCCACATTACCTGTGTTTTCCACTAATAAAAACACATCGTGTTCAGATGGTGAAGCTAAAAAATGGAAACATGAGGCTCCGGGGAGCTGTTCTTGGCTTGGTTGTGTCTGTTGGAGCAAGGAGACAGTGTGTCAGGATTTCTCTCTGTGATTAATTCCTGTAGAAACCTGTGCAAAATGTTTTTACCTCGTTTCTTGTCAGCGTGTGCGTAGGGAGAATTAGATTGACCCACGGAATGATGGTGATAATTCATTTCCACGGCGCTTGGACCCACCACCAGCGGGTTTATTCAATATATTTCAAAGCACGGGTGGTTCTTAGGAAGCAGAAAGAACTCTCCAGGTAGAAAACCCAGGGCTGAGTTCAGGAGAATTCAGAAATGAGCCCTTCTTTGCTATTTATCAAGACATGAGTTATGCAAATCGAATGTTTCCTTAGACGGAAGCGTGTCTGCAGGAAGCAGATTTGGCTGCCGCAGCCGCGCTCACCGACGGGCGCTTCTGCCGCTCATTTGAGGCAGGTCGTCTCCATATCCAGCTCTCATGGGCTTTTTGGATCATTTCTTCACCTCTGATCTGAGGAAGAATTTGTGTTTTAGTTGATTCAGCTGTGATTCAAAGTTGGGTAGTTTGGAATTCTGCTGTTTTCAGATCAAAATCCTGAAGATTCAGCCATGGAAGATCCAGAATCAAGTGGTATGTGATGGCATTTGAAATAACTTTTATTTTTTACTGTTTATAATGTAAGTTTTTGGGGTGTGAGATGACACAGATCAGCCTGGGAGCTACTTAGGAAATATGGGTGCTAGAAAATAGATCTAAGTTCCTCTAATTGAGGTTTTCATTAAGATCTCAAGTGTTAGTTCAGAGGTTTTTATTAAGATCTCAACTGTTTAGAGGTTTTCATTAAGATCCCAACTGTTCAGTTCTCCAAATCTTTGACTTTGATGAAGTTATTTGATGCATTTATCCTGGATATTGATTTATTTAAGAGAGAAAAGGACACAAACCTCCTTTTTCAGGAGGCAGAAGGTGCAGCCTTTTCTCTTCAGACTTTGGAAGCGCCTAACGCTGGTGTTTGCACATCATCAGCTCAAGTCCCTCTGACAAAAAATGGACTCTAAGTCCTTGTTTCTCCAAGGTGACGAGGTTAATTATAAACATAATTAGTTTGAAGTGGACAAACACTTACCCATCGAGCTTCTAAGAGGTCTCTGAGAACACAAATCCCTGGTGCCAGAGCCCTGTGTTCAACAGGGGCCAGTCCTCAGCGCTTCGGAGAGGTGAAAGAATAAACCTCCCTGGCTCTGTAATCAGCAAACAACGTCAGTCCTTTCCCTGCTGTCACATTCAAATGCATTTTTATCTTTTTAACTAGAAAACTGTTCATTTCAGCAGCTGGATTTTGTCATAAAAATCAAAATAACATTGTCAAGAGCTCTACAGTTCATGATCATATTTAAAGGATGGTTAAAGGATGAAGATAGTTAAAGGATGTCTCAGTGTCTTTGATAAATTGATTAAGATGTTTGGAAACTGTATTGTGAGAGTTTTCTGCTCACTCTTGCTTTCCAAAGTGTTTTTGCACCTTCAGCACCATCTGCACGACCCCACTTAACGCCCACCGAGCTCATCGTCCGGTGGAGGCACAAGCAGAGCCTGTTTCTGCTCCACCTTCCCCTTTTTTTTCTCTACATACCCAGAGCTGGCAGAGATCCTCTTTCTGCAGCTTTACATGTGAAACTCGTGTTGGGCAACGACCCGTTGTGTCCAGCTCAGCTCTTCAGGGCAGAGACTTCCAGCCTGGCACTTCATTTGCCACTTGAAAGTGGCTCTGGATGAAACAGCTGCCTCACTTCTTACCCTACAATCTTGATCTCATGAAGCACTTGATCAGGAGAGATTATGATACAAGTCTTGATTATTTAATAAACCCACCAAAAAAGCAGGATTCTGAGATCCCTCTAGAAAACAGCCCCGTGCATTGATTTAAAAATGTGTTTTTAGGTTTGTCAGTGAATCATTTTTTAACACCAAGAACGTGCCATGACTGTAAAAATCAAACACCCTGGAGAAATCCAAGTGTGTCACCTCCACAGAGCGCCTCTTATCAGCCAAATCTTATTTATTAAGGAGGTTTATTTGACAGGTCTTTTGCAAAATCAAAACGACTGGCATAAATTATTTCATTCAGTCTTATTTTTCAGCCAGTAAATGCTGTAAATTCATCCTTCTCTTGCAAATTGAAAAGTCCTTTTACTGCTTTCCAGTCCTGGAAACATCTCATGTGCTTCACTATCAGTCTAGATCCTTCTTACCATTGCTAACGTTCCCTTATTCTTAATATTGAAGAAATAAGCAGAGAAAAGTTGAAGGTAGTTGCATTTTTCTTCCTTCAAAAGCAAAGTTCATGAAGTAATTAACAAGTGCAGGGGGCTGCCATCTCTCAAGACAACTCTGCTCGACTAATATTTTCCTCTCAAGTTGGCACTCACCTCATTTTCATTTTGCAAATGCACCCGTGCTCACCTTCTGCTGCCAGACACCTCAAACATTTCCGCTGCACACGCTTTCTTTTGCAATTAATTGATGTATTAAGTGGAAATTCTCCTTCCCCCCCCTCCTCCCTGACACGTTTCCTTAATCTCCTCATTAATACCTACGGCTATTTAAGACATCTGACCTTGCTAGTTATTTCCTGTCACTTGTGGGTGATCACACTCGTTTAGTAACAGTTCCAACCTCCTCAAAAATTAGCTGATTTGTAAATTTAGTTGTTTTTTGGGGTTTTTTTTGCCAGGGCCTTTTGTTCCTCTAAAGTAGAAAGAGATGAGAGATCAGAGTGACAAACGGGAAGTGATCGTGCTCTTGGTTTTGCAAAACCGTTGTTCAAGGTTATTTTGTGTTATTTTTGTTCCAAAACTTATTCCTCAGGCAGAGATGCTGATCTAGGCAGCTGGAACAGTGTCCTTTGCCACAGTCAGGGTCTCACCGAGGGATATCTTGGTCCAAGAGGGAGGATTTCACACAATTTGAGAGCTTTTAGACTTATTTAACCTAATTTGGTTCGACCTGCATGAGGGTTTAGCAGTCAGGGGGTTTTACACAGATGCTGCTGAGAAGCTCCAATCCTTTTATGTGGAAAAGGGAGATTTGGCTCAATGGAAAAATTCAGATGTTGCTTTGCAAAGTGCAAGACAGAGCAGAGAGAAGAGGAAGGTGCTGCTGGGAAGAGGTTTGAGATACTGAGGTTTGTCAACGGTGTCGTGCTGGATTAAGGTTTTAGACATTTACCTCATTTCACGGTAACTGCGGCTGAAAGGGAAGTGATGCTTCTGCTGAAGGGTAGAACCAGAGTTTCTCCTGCTAAAAATATCCTCCAAGGCAGTAAAAAGCAGAGAAGAGCTCTTATGAGTTTTCCAGAAGGCAGATGATGCAGATGAGATGATGGTCTTATCCATGCAAGGATGGGGCAGAACTTGACACGACAAGCTGGCCAGCTCTGGGGCAAGCGTTGGCCGTGCAGAGACGCTCTCCTGGAGGATCCAGGTCTCGTGCCAAGGCTGGAAAAGATTTGTGCTGGAATTATCTGAGATCAGAAGAATAAGGATTTGCTGTCCTTTAAGAAACATCAATGGATTTGAATCTCCAGAGGAATAACTTCTTCTGGATCAGCCTTTCATTGGGTTGTCCAGTAAGATAACTGGTTTTAAATTGGAAAATACCAGCAACTGGTTTTAAACTGGAAAATACCAGCAACTGGTTTTAAATTGGAAGACACCAGCAACTGGTTTTAAATTGGAAGATACCAGCAACTGGTTTTTAAACTGGAAGATACCAGCAACTGGTTTTTAAATTGGAAGACACCAGCAACTGGTTTTTAAATTGGAAGACACCAGCAACTAGTATTGGTATGAACTAACCTTAAAGGTGTCCGACAGAGCAGCTGTGACAACGAAAAGCAACACATTCAAGCCAATTAATTTCCTTAATGAATGAATCATTTGGCCCAGACCTGGCATAAAAGCCACTAGGAAGATTTCAAATGGAAGAGAGAAATTGGTTTCTGCTCCTGAATGACAAAGGGGCTGCATTTAGGGAAGGAAACATCTAAAACTTGTGAGAACATTAATAACATCAGCTACAGCAAGGCCAGGGAAACTTCTTCTGTCCAATTTTTCCACCTTCCTACTTTGATAGCATTAAATATCACATTATTTTAGTGAGATGAAGCAAAAGCCTTGTGAGAACCCCGAGTTTTTCTCTTCTCTTACAAGGGCTTTCGAAAGCAGAGGGTTTCATTTTGCCCATCAGCTCAAGTTGAGTCACTTCTTCCTGTTGTACAATCCTCTGCCTCGTGGTAAACAAGGAAAAATTAAAGCTGTCCATCTGCTCAAAGGCACGAGAGGAGTTAGGATGGCAATGAAATCAGCATGCCTTGGATTTGGTACCTCTTGGATTACGAATAATTACCAAAACAGAAGGAGTTTTTTGTTAAACTGCCTCTCTGGGGTCACCCACTGAGCAGGAAATGTTGATTTATCACCAGTGACCGTTTGCAGTTCTCTGTCAGCATCTTGGTGCTTCTAAATCCCTTCTTCCCCCGGGTCCTCTAAGCGTGGCAGGTCAATTCGGAGCAATTCCTGGCAGTTCCTTCAGACCTCAGTGGTTTAAGGACAAAACCAAATGTGTCCTCATGCATTTTCAGCGTCTCGTTTGACTTTGGAGTAAAACATTTCAGCAAATTTTTTTTAAAGAACAAGGCCAGGATAAATATTAATTATTTGCTCAGCAAAAGGGTGAGTTTGGAGCCTTCCCAGCTCATTTCTTGATGTGAAAGGGAACACAGTGAGTGAAAGAGCATCAACGTCAGCGTCCTGCTCAGCTTTCTCCACAGTTATTTTCATTTTTAAGCTGCTGATGGGGTTGGATTGGTTGATGTTCATGACTTGGACAATGTAACAACATGATTGCCAGTGATCACTCGTGTTTGACACCATAAAGGAGATGTCTGTAACAAAAATCTCTTAATACTTCCCTGTTTTTCCTCTTAATTTTACTCTCAAATGGTTTCTCTGCATTGTGTGGCATTTTTATATGATTTAAAACCCCACACGTGCTCAGTGTCCCTTATCACCAGTACAGACAACCCAGTCTTATGCTTTTCCATGCTAACAAAACCCAACTGGGAAAAAAAAAACCCACCAAAATCTGTATTTTTCAGGACTGAGCCAAAGCCCAGGAGTCACTATAACTAAATGAGACACCAAGTGACTTTTCTAGCAAGTGTTATTTCAGCAACATTGAAAAATACTTACTGCTCAGTGTCAAAAACTCAACCAGCAGTGAAGCAACTTTAGATTTAGGTCAACCACATCCTGTTTCCTGGAATGACAAAAGGACAAAGAAGAGTGAAGTTTTCTTTTGTTTTCACTAATTGTGCCCAGTTTCATGTTTTAAAACTTTTTTTTCCCTTTTTTCTTTTTCTTTTTTATTTTTCCTTTTTATTTTCTTTTTTCTTTCCTTTTTGCTTTTTTTTTTTTCTTTTTCTTTCTTTCCTTTTTTTTTTTTGCAGCTTTCAGCCTGGCTCAATTTTAATTTCAACCCTCAGTGACAAGCACATGACTGAGTGGAAAGTGAGATTAACAGCATCACTCACCTCATGTAAAATGTGTTCTCACCTCCACTCTGCTCCACATGCAACCACAGGCAGAACATGTCTACACCTTACAGAGATGTGTGGCAGGAGTGTGCTGCCCCTCCAGTAGAGATAAATCCATTTTATATGGATTTATTTAAAAAAAAAATAATTATTTATTTAAAAAATATATATATTCAATCTATTTTATATGGATTTATTTTAAAAAATTAAAAAAATATTTAAAAATATATATTAAATCCATTTTATATGGATTTATCTCCTGTGCAACCTGCTGTAGGGAACCTCTTTTAGCAGGGGGGTTGGACTGGATGATCTCCTGAGGTCCCTTCCAACCCCACCACACTGGGATTCTGTGAATTCTATGCACAAGGTGGAATAACAAGGTTATGTTCTCCTCTTTTTGAGGAGAGAATGGGTGGTTGTTTTTTCTGTTGCACGTACACACAGAGGCTGGGACCGTGCAGAGCTGGTCCAGAGTCAGACCCCCAAATATTGCTGCAGTGATGTGTAATAATTAGAGAGTTGGGGCTGTTCAGCCTGGAGAAGAGAAGGCTCCC